GTTGTTTGCACAGTGTGGCTCGATTGAAGCCCCCTCCCCCGCTGTGTCACACGATGTAAACGACGCCATCAGTTATGTCGAAGAGCTAACATTTTCCAACTGACAAACTGTGGAGCGAGATCAGCTATCCATTTTGCCTTTGTGCCTGAATGTCTCTCACTGTCGCCTCGCCACCTACATACTGATCGAAAGAATGGGTTTTGTCGATTGGCCATCGAAGAACGCAAAAAGGTAGCTTAGGACCGTGCACTAAGGGGGAGACATTGAGGTTGTTCAATTATTTAGGTTGTCTGCCGTGGTGCTTTTGGGCTCGGGCGTGCTGCCAGCTCGATAATAGACACCCATGCCTAATTTAACTCGCTTTTTTTGGGGATAATTTTATGGAACTTATGGAGATAATTAAAAGAAACAGCATTTAATTTGCAGGGAACAACTGCATCAAGAAGACATCATTTTATTCAAATACCAACTTCGATTTCAAACTAGTTTGATCTGATCTTCATCTGACCTCGAATCAAACTTCATTTAGGGGCCAAACTATCAATTTAACGCTTGCATTGCGTTGTTTGAGTAACATTATCCGTGAACTGTGTCTCACATATCCCTTTCAATAATTAGTTCATGGTCGTATTTGGTGACCTGACCTTGATCTTGCCAAAATTGTATCATCATCTGTACACTGCGCCTTTTCTTGGTAACCTATGGATGTTTTTATTTGTTGTTGTTGTTGTTGTTGTTGTTGTTGTTGTTGTTGTTGTTGTTGTTGGACAATTTCGGCCAGATTGGATTACAAGCCAGTGACCCAGAAACTTTCATTTAGACATTTGATTTAACGGTCTTCATTTGACCTTCTTTACTTGATCTTACTTGGTCTTACCGATAGTCGAATATGCGATATACAGGGTGATTCATAGCCATGTGACCTATTTAGTTGATCTCTCTTGAGAAGAGGATTGCATATTTTCGTGTGAACTTTCACGTGCTAGTAGAAAATTTTATGAAGTTTTGTTCTATCCTGGTCTGGTCTGTGTGTATCGCTCAAGATGTACACAGCGCAGCAAAAAGTAAAAATGTGTAATTTGTATAGGTTAACGCAGTCCATCAAGCAAACACAAAGATGTTTCTGCACGTCTGAGGGCTTGCACCCAAGGGAAACTCCAAAGAAGATAACAAAGTCATAGAATCGTTAATCAATTCAAAGCAGAGGGCACGGTTCAATGTTAAACACGGCACAAAAAAAAAATGGTAAGCGAACCCCGGAAAGTTGATTTCAAAGAGCGCTGAGGTCAGGTGGGCGCCACGCTCGCCGGAGCTCAGCGTCGTGGAATTCTTCCTCTGGGGCTATGCAAAGTCCGAGGTCTTTGAGGAGAGTCCCCAGGATATTCTGGGGCTGAAGGATGCCATTGGAGGCTGCTTTGGTTCTATTTCCTTAGAAATGTTGTGCGTCCGCGCCATCGCCAACTTTAGGCTCTGGCGCTGGAGTGCATCCGTCGCCGAGGTGGCCATTTTGAACATCTTGTTTAAAAGAAGCTTGTGAGAGTCGAACGAAAAGTATTTGTGACTGATGCTATACATGGATCAAAACTTCATATTTGGCTGGTTAATATGGTACTTGGCAATGGCATGTAACACGAATGCATTTCCTGTAGTTTTCACTTATTTTCGGTCACACGGCTATGAATCACCCTGTAAACGTTTGCGTTTTTAGAGGTTTTGGAAACCGTTTCCAGTCTTTCTACGAATGGAATGACTAGGTTCTATGATTAATATATGCTTAACCTTCGCCCCAGTGGGGGGGGCATATGTTACCACCCTGTCGCGTTTTTTGCGTGTGAATAAAAAACCGCGGCGCGTAGCGCCGCGCCGCTTGAGGTAGCTTTTGGTACATCAATTTTGGACAATCTGTGAAATTTTTGACCTCAGGTCATGTCAGGTCAGGTCACCAGGTCAAGTTGACTGACCAAGCCTAAAAAAAAGTTTGCAATCCTGTCCAGCCTGCAGTGTTTGTCAGAAAGGTTTTAAACTTGGTGGATTGCATGCTGTTATGGGCGCCTACAATTTGTATATCTCGGATTTTCTATATCCGTGACCTAAGGTCAGGTCAGTGGCGTGACCTTTCCATTATAAGTCAATGGAGAAAAATGAAAATGCCTCTAGATCCGTGTGTACGCATAGGAACAGTCCAAATATTTCAGAATCACAATGATTTAGACCGCTCGTGATGACCATGGTGTCATTTTTGCTGATAGCCTCTAGAAAGGTCATCCGAGGTCATTTGAGGCTACAAACAGTTTTTTGCCAATAACTCGCGATTGGAAAGAGATAGAACGCTGGGGATGGTCTCATTGTGTTTGTCTTGCCGAGACGGATCGACTGATATGCAACATGACCTTTTCCGGTCAGGTCATGACCTTGACCTGAGGTCAAATTTTCAAGTTGACCTTTCAAGGTCAAATTATAGTTCATTCGACGCGTCTCGGCGAGGGAAACACGATTCTGGCAATAGAAATGTCGTGGCTTTTTGGAGTCGAAAGTTATTGTCGAAAAACACTTTTCGTAAAAACAGCTATTTTTGGAGTTTTTGCCCTCTGGAGGCTAAGCCGTTGACCTGAGATCAATTTTGATAATGACTTTATCAAAAGAAGAGTTCAAAAGCTATCGATTGCTTTTCAATGCGTTTTTCTAGCTACCATAGTTCCTGAGATAGCGGCATGTTTTTTGAAAAATATAATGACAGTTGGCAAATTTTGACCTTTGATGACCTCTGGTGACCCCAATATTGCTCTAAGGTGAAAAATGACCGAAATACTTTCAAACGTACGCATTGAGAGCTATCGACTGCTTTTTACCGCGTCTTTCTAGCCCTCTTAGTTTTTGAGTTAGAGGTGGGTGGTAACATATGCCCCCCCTCACTAGGGCGAAGTTGGCTGAGACCGCCACTGGAAGTTACTTCTCGAAGATATCTCAGGAAGCGGAAGCAGAATTTGCCCCGCCAGCGGGGCGCGCTCGGCTGAATAGTTGAATACTTTAACGGTAACCCTATTAGTAGCAGGCTCCTGACTACCCCTAATGGTGGCGGGGGGGGGGGGGGGCTGTTTATAGGACCTTCCGTGATATCTCGAGATCTAATCGGCCGATCTTTAAAACTCAAACGGCATTCGACCCCACTCAGCGAGATCTACATTTTGAAAAAAAGAAATATCCCAAAAAAAAATAAATAGGGGAAAGGGCAATAGATAGACATGATTTTTCTGTGACCCTGAGGTCAAGTTTTTAAGTTGATCTTTTTAGGTCAAGTTATAGTTCATTCTAATGCGTCTGTACGAGAGAAACGCGAAACTGGTAAAATCAACGTAATACATGCTTGGTGTCAAAAGTCACTGCAGAGAAACGTTTTCCGAAAAAAAAAAAACGTTTTCCGCCGTTTTTGAGATATTGGTGAAAACCGCAGGGGGTGTTCAAACACACCCCCCCCCCCCCAGCAGAACGCGACTAAGAGTTTTTGTTATACTGAAAAACTCGCTTCGTTCTTTATTCTCGTTCGTAGTTTACAGCATTATGCGGAATTACAACTAAATCCGGTGTTTTATATGTATTGTTTTTGTATGCATCCTGTTAATCAGTTTTCATGACTACATTTCACCGACTTAAACCTCGCCGGACCTCGCCGACTTAAACCTCGCCGGTTTTCCACATACGCGCCGGCCGAGGGGGGGGGGGGGGGTACGACCCCCCTCGCCGTTTCGCCCCTGGTGGAGCTAGCGCGTCGCAGAAAAAACGAGCGTGTGCGCCGTTACGAGACGCAGATATTGGTACTCGATTTTAAGGTCCTAGGTCAACCGGTGACCTCTGAGGTTAGGTCAAGTGCCCCAAGGTACGATTCAGTTTTTGGTGAATAACTTCGCAAAAAACGGCCACAGAGCCGCGATTTTGGCAGCATCGTGTTCGCCTCGCTCAGGCGCGTCGAATGATATACTTTTAGTATGGGTCAGGTCAACTTAAGTTGTTGACCTCAGGTCACGGTCAGGTCAGCGCCCCCAGGTCACGAAGTTGGTCGAAAGAGATCATGTTGCATACCATTCGATTCGGCAGATCTTCCTGAGTCCATTGGTGACTTTTCCGTCTCGCTAGCTTAATTTGATCGGGAGTTATTGACGAAAAACTAATATGACCTTGATGACGTCATAAATGACGTCACGCAAGGTCAACATTGCAAAAGTGACGCATCTAACCATGCAAGGAGTGCATCAAATCACGATTCTGTGTGCTTGAGATAGTTGGAGATCGTTCCCGGCGCCAGAATAGCAGTTTTTATTTTTCCCCATTGACTTATAATGGTGAGGTCACGGAAATGACCAGGGATCGATTCGAGATGGCGTACTAGGAAGCTAGTAAGACTTTGTGGCCAAGTGACACTTGAAGGTAGTGACACTAAGCGGCATTTTATACCAATCGGCTAGTGGCTCAGCGCGAACCGAAATCGCCTAGTGAGACTTGAAATCAAGTGACACTAGAGCCTTGGTGCGCCAACGCGAACCGGCTGCTGACCTCATATGACCTTTAGGAAAAATCCAAAATATACAAGTTATGAGACTTGTAATGGGTACTAGATCCTGCAAGTTTCATTTCCTTGTAAAAGCTCCTCTGGCAGTGAGGGCGTTGCGAAGTTGCGACATCTGAAGACCTTGCAGAGGTTCACTTATGACGTCATAGGTCAGTGACCTGACCCGACCCAAAAATGCAGTTGGTTTCAAAAGATCCGGCTTGAATCAAAGGTTAGGTATGCCAAGTTTTAGCTCTCTATCGCTAGCGCGTTTGGAGTTATCGCGAAAAAAAACTCTATGGGGGGCGGCACCCGCCACCCCCTCGGCCGGCGAGGGTTAAGTACATAGAAGTCTCAGCTCGGTTAAACCATGTTAAACTAAGCAAAAACATGACTGTAGCTCAAAGTTAGCAAAATATGAATCTCGGGATAGATGCATAAGGAAAACATAACTTACCTTGTCCTCTCCCATGTTGAAAAACTTCTCGGAGCTTCCCTATAACACTTTACCACCACTCACCACTCGCTTTGCCGCCACTTTTTCAGGCGGAGCTCAGCATGGTGAGCCTACGGCCATGGGCGTCGGAATGATTGTACCCTATCAAAACTATCAAATGACTCGCATGCGCATTTATGACGTCTGCTTGCTTTGGTTATCGCACTGGATTAAATGATTTGAGTAACGGCTGTTTTAAGTGCTATAGATACATAGTATTTCAATACATATTGCATAACTGAGAACGTAGCTGATAATAATCGAGTTCTGAGCTACATCCGAAAATGCTTTAAGTGTTCCTACCCTGGCTGTGGCCAGGCCGTTTATTTCAAACTCTGACACCGAGTCAGTCCAGGAAATACGCATAAAAACTAATTTTTGATGACTCGCAAATCGCAATTTCAGTCACAAATGACGTAAGCATCCGAACTCTAATCAGCATTCTTGGAGGTAGGCTATGGTATTTTTGGTATTCATGGCTCATCTTATCAATTCATTTTTCATTTTTTTTTTCATTTTTCATTTTTCATTTTTCAATTCATCAATTCAATTCATGGCTCATCTAATCAGCATTGGCCCAATAGCTCTACCTCAACGACCATGTTACCGGGCTAAGAGCAGCTATCTTTTGTTGACCGTCATGATCGGTGCACACTACTTCTACTTACCTGCATACACTATCTCATCGAATGTCTCCTCCAGGATAATATTGAAGAGCCAATTTACAAAATAAACATGTATTTATCCAGAAGGAAAACGAGACATATCATTTTACAACTATAGGCCTAAAGCGATGAAGAAGATTTTACCGACGACACATGCGATGGAGAAGTGACAATCAAACAACACGAGCTTGATTGCACTTTGCTCACATAAAACAGATGACCTAGAAGGTACGTACGAGTACTTCAGTCGATCATGCATGCGTAACAGCAATCTAAACAGCAGACAATACGACTTTCAGTGCCAGAATACTCTTAGCGCTCGTAACATTGCAGGCGTATATTCGACAAATAGTATTGAGTAGATACATTGATATTCAATGCATCGGCGACTATTTTTTCTGCAAACACCGCTAGGCAAAAGAGTAAACGCAGCAATTTATGACCAAAAAGGCGACCACATGAATGTGATACTCTTCAAGCCATGCTACCGACCATTCGCGCTCAAGTTTGAGCCGTCCTCGCCGCAGCTTTAAAGCGACAAACAACACAGAGCTCTACCTATTTCCATTGAAATCACACAGTAACACTCTATGGCTCATCCTGAGCCAAGTGGCAAAAGAATTTCAGAAAAAGTTCTGATGTCCCGCTTGCTTCATCTGCGATTAAAGAGTAACGAGTAGATCTTTGTTCGGATCGTTTATAAGTGTAAAGTGCGTCGGTTTTCGCCTTTTAAGCTTAATTACGAATAAATTACACCACTGCACGCTGTATGTAGGTTACTCTAGTGAGATACATAAGCACCGCTGCAGAATTAACATACTGAATTTTAATTTTGAAATTACGCCTTCTGCTGTCCTGTCGAAGAGCTCGTCAGTTGTGTTGACAACTTTTCAGGGACTGATATTTCATTTGTCCGTTTCCATCTTTTGCAGTTTTTCTTCCGATCAGCAAGAACGTCAAATGTCGGTTACGATCCAGCCGTGGACTAAGACCAGGCATTTTTTAGCGAGAGCGTATCACACATAATATAAGACATTCACACCGACCGTTCACAGATACAGGTAGGTATAACATGAGATTCACCATAAACTGACGAGTGGCCACCACTTACTCCTGTGTCAGTACTGAACTCATACAGCAGAGAATACTGGCCGATGGTCAGGACTTAGATCGCATGTGCGCGTTCTACTAGCAGTGTAGAGTTGGACTTTGTCTCGAGTAAGCTCTGTTGTGATTGGTCTTCGCACTACGCGCTCAGGCAGTTTCTTCCTCCTCGACGTTTCGACATAAGCAGACGGTGAATAGCATGCCGAAAACCTGCAAAAAAAGAAAGAAAGTAGGCTATTGTAAACATGTCTCTGAAGCGGTACATCCATAGGTTACAGGGAGTTTAAGAAATCCGTGAGTTTGCAAACTCCCTAGGGAGTTATTCGTCCCAATCGCCCTGGAATTTCTCAAACTCCCTGACCGGTCAGTGAGTTTGCAAACTCCCTAGTGAATTTGCAAACTCACTGATGGGTCAGGGAGTTTGCAAACTCCCTAGGGAGTTTGCAAACTCACGGATTTCTCAAACTCCCCGTAACATTTACATTCCGTTTTGTTAGGAGGGAAATATCAGAGCAGCGTCAGGATTTGATTTGCCCAACAAGAGTTATTCATAGGTATACATGTGCACTTCTACCATATAAAAATAAAATCTAAAACACGGATTACGTGGAGGTATTGGGGCTAGGAAGGGTCTATTTTTCTTATTATTAACAGCATCTCGTCAAACAATTATTGTACTTGAGCTCGCAATTTATATGCTCGTAACTGTAGAGACGGTGAAGAGATGACTGAACGGTGAACCAGAAAGGGACAAAAAAAAACGTCAACATTTTGTTTCGTTTTACTGGCCCCCTCTCGGTCTTGAGCAGACAACTTTGATGTCGGCCGACGTGCGATAGATTGTAAATGAAAAAAAAACTAGAACAATTTTTCCAGCTGTCAGGAAAAAAAACAGACATCGCTTTATATCCTCCAGGCGTTGCCTTAGTTCCTTTATTTGTCCCCCTGTCCTGAGTCGGACGCCCTGGTCGCGATTACATACAGTGTATGACCAGGCATGCATGCAGTGTCTGACCACAGGCGCTTACCAGCAGACCAGCGAGTCCTAGCGAGGCGCAGAGGAGAATGGTTGTCTCCTGATCGAACCACCGTTGGATCTCTGCCATACAGCCCTGGTGGAAAACCACAGCGCGTCAAGTTAGCGGACGGAGTTCGCGATCACAGCGACATCTGTGTGGTCATGGCGTGATAGCACGTGACGCCATCTCAATGGGGTTTGACGCTCAATGGGGTTTGAGATGAGGAGAAATGGGAACCTCAATGATAGACGTCTCGTGTTAGGTTGTGATGTTTATAAGCGTTTGTTGCTGATGTTTTTTTTTGAAGATGACGAGAAGTGGCATTGTTTTTTCTTCGATCGAAAACGGATGGTTTGTGCACTGCTAGAGTAATTTGTCATCTTCACGACTACGAGGGAATAACAAAACGCAGCTTTTACAATGTTTCCTGCTTTATAAACAATATCCGGCAAATGATACGCTCAAACATTACAAGTTACTTAGTCATTAAGTATACTCAAGTGCTATACGTGCTAGGAATCATCTTGTGGTGTTTGCAAGCTGCAACTACAGGGTGATTTTTTATACAGGGCAATAAGTAAAGAGCAATAATGGTACCAGAAAACACATCAACTGACAGCAAATGTATATCTTTGTACTAAGCACATTCTGACATTTCATTTGCACACAAAAACTTTGAATTTGAGCTCCGTTTAGGCTTACAGAACGTGCTCGAAGTGAGCACAGTTTTAATGCTCGCAAGCCTGGAGTAATTGGCGATTTTGGGGAAAACATTTTGTTGTGCGCCATTTTCACGGAACTTAACAACAGAATGGGTCCCAAGAAGTCTCTAAAAGGTCCTGAAAACAAAATGACAAACAATTTCCTTTGACCTTTCACGTAGATATACTAGTTTCGCGTTTGTTACATGTTTTGGTATCTCCAGGCTTAACCCGCGCCCTGGTGGGGGGGGGGCTATTTTTTGCCCCCCCTCCAGACTTTTCGATATGTCTCCAGAACCGCTGCGCCGATCGTCACCAAACTTTCAGTACCCTCCCGGACATCAATTTTACACATTGTGACCAAAAATTTTTCCAAAGGCTATGATAGGTTGGCCGGAAATGACGTCAGAGTGACGTCATGTTCTGCCGTTTTCGACCCAAAAAAGGGTTTCGCGGGAAGAGCTGTCAGGCCTATAGCTTTGCAAATACAGAAAAACGATAAGGACATAAAAGCTGTAGAATTAACAGGGCTACAAAACTGCTATCTCGGATTTTTAAAATTTTTGGATTTTGACCCCCAAAAATCAAAAAATAGATTTTTTGATTATAATAGCCGAAAAATCCAAAAAGCTTTTTGAATTTCAAAAAAACGGAATATGTGATAGTCCTTACCGCATTCTATCTACATACCAAATTTGAGATCGATACCTCTTTTTTTGGCCAAGTTACAGCGAAAAAACTGTTCAAAATTGATGACGTCAAATTTTCAAACTCAATTTTTTGCAATTCTAGACCTCGTAGCGCAAAACAAAGACCACCATTAGACTCCCCGTGACGAGCTGCATCGAATCAATACCCATTTTATGCAAAAATATCAACTTTGAAATTTGACCTTTTTTGACCTGACCTTGACCTGACCTCCACCAGAAAGTGACCTAAGCCGTACCTGATGGTCTTATAACCAACACCATTGAGTTGGAAATGAAAAATTGGCCATAAAACATGCATCGCACAACCTTAGTACCTAAAGTTAGGTTCATGTGACCTGACCTGTGACCCTTGGTGACCTTGGTGACCTGACCTGGTAATGTCAGTGACCTCTTATAGCAATATATGTACTAGGCAACTGACGCCCTATCGCTGATTCTCGACAAAATGCGTTTTCTTCGGTGTTATAGCGCATTCCCTAGATGACCCGTGAACGGTGAAACATTTCATCTTTGACCTGACCTGTGACGTCATCGGTGACCCCGAGGTCAATGAAATTTGGTTTCCCTCGACAAATTTGACAGGCCTTTCGAACGCCGTTTGAATTTTGCGGATCCGTCCAGTAGTTTCGGAGATACGAGGGGGGGCAAAAAATAGCCCCCCCACCAGGTCGCGTTATAAACAGACCCCACCAGGGCGCGGGTTAACCCGGCAGTTGCTGGGGTATTTCGCCACCCACCGTTTGCTGGGGGGGGGGGGGGCGTTAAACGCCCCCAGCCGATAACTCGAGAACCAATAGGCGCAGCGAAACGCACGAGGCGGCAAACGAAAGAACGCGACGAGACGCTTCAGATGAGTACTTAAAAGTTGAATTTTGAGGTCACAGGTCGGGTCAAGGTCAGGTCAAACACCTGAAATCGGGCTTTCAGTAGCATTGACTTCAGGACTTCGCAATGGGCGCCTCTCGTCATAATC